GCCAGCCAACATGGCACCATCCAACACACCACAAGCTCCAGCCAACACTGCAGCCAACACACAGCCAGCCATTGTGGGACCATCCGGCACACTTCAAGCTCCAGCCAATGCGGTGCCATCCAACATGCCACAAGCTCTACCCAACACTGTGGCCAACACAGGGGCAAGCCAGGATTCGCCATGCAGCCAGAACTCACTGCCAGTCAACCCGCTACCAATTTCACAAGGGGGCAAGGAGGGGACATCCAGCTCAGCAGCCGGTGGTCAAGCGGTGCCCGCTGAGAACCCGACTGACCGCAGGATGAAAGCTGCTTCATACACTCCAGTGCCTCCAGGCGACATGTACAGTGATGGTACATACTGGAAGAGACTAGCTTGCAATGACCATGCCCATCAACTTCTGTGTGCCTTCATACTTTGGAGGCTGAACTTAGCTTCCTGATGCCTTCTTTAAGGATGAACCGTTTCATGACCCAGCACAAGAAGGGGAAAGTCACTGCGAATCCTGAAGTGATCAAATTGTGGGGGACCAATGCAGGTCGTGCTAGGGCAGCAGTTAACAGTTGCTTTCCTAAGAATCTTGTTTAGAAGTATATTTGACTCATGTGATCTCAATGCCATGTGCCCTCTTAGGTGAGCAGCTGCGAGGGCTTCTTTATGCGAATGATATGTGCATGGATACAGTGAATGTCAATATTTCGCGGATGAACATTCAGGAGAACACCATATGCAAAGGTTTTTGCAAGGGTCCCAAGTATAGATTTTTTCTTTATTTGACCCAGGAGGCCTCTGAAACAACTCTTGGCGGATGGAAAACTGAATCCCAACTGCTACTGGAACCTGGTTGGGACGCGTGTTGGGCTGAGTGTGGTGGGTTTGTGAAGCTTTTGTTTCTATCACCATATTTCTTGGCCACGTGTTCTCCCCACTGTTCTCTCCACATGTCCCATGCAGGTCAATGGTGAAGAGTGCTATCACGTGGGCAGAATCGAAAGGTTTGGCCAGGAAAAACGCAGTACATGGGAGAGATGAGTATCGAGTTCCAACGTCCTTCAATTTTAGGCATGATGAAACCGATAGAACCACAACCACAGTATCTGGCGATGTTGAAATGCAGGCCGGGCCTTCCCTTGGCACATGTCGCATTGACCTCCATGGTTGGGGGGCGTTGCCTGATTCTCCTGCTTTGCAGGGTGGACGAGGGCTGCTGCTGGGGGAAGGTTCCGCTCCCACGGCTGATTCGCAAATCATGATGCACAGTTGCAATACAATGCGCAGTAGTGTGAATGTGAGTTGGGAAGCCGGTTGAACCGACTCGGCTAGCTCATGTTTTCCTAAGGAGGGGATCCAATTGCACCAACAGAACCCTGCCTTTCCAAGATGCACAACAGAAAGGTGGAAATGGAAAGAAATCCTTTCCAGTTCTCCAGATGGGTGGAGACCCATACCGTCAGCAACCAAGACTAAAGCAAACGATAACATAAGATCAGATTGCAAGTGTTCATTGACTGTGCTTTAAGCAGCTATACCCATAACATTTCAGGTCAACTTGCGGACTTTGTGGAGATTGCTGGAAAAAAGATTGACCAAGCGGAGGATCTGAAGGACAGGGTGTGAATGAGGCACCCCACAGTGATGGAGCTTCCATAGTTTAAGCTCATTGTGTGAAAACAGGTCATCCAACCATATGGTAGTGATTCTCTCTATCCCTATTGCTGTTTAAATTGCTATGGCGCATATGATCCTCACTGGCTCTAGTCCACAGGAAAAGCTGATGAGCATGGACACAGAGCGCAGCAAGCAGCATCTCGACTCCAACCCCAATTCTAGATTGCAAGTTGGCTCAAAAGGTTATGTTGAGCTAGGGCCAGGGTGATATCCCCATATATATTATTGTAAAGCAACCTTCAATGCAATGTCTCTGCGCTGCACACTGGCTGGCATGTTGCCAAGGTCCGCCGCGGAGCTTGGGAACAAGCTGGCATCTTTCCAGAAGAAGTTTGATGAGATCCTTCTCAAGCAAGCGGAAGCTGTCAGTCTTGAGCATGAGCCGTCCCAGCAATTGCCTTAGAAGCCTCGCCACTCTTTGAGGCCCTAATATGTTGGAAGCGCCTGTCAGCATCCACAGTGCCGCATATATACTTTTGCGCTGGTACCCACAAGCCTGCCTAGGCAACTGAAGACAGATCTTCGAAAAATTCTTAGTGATCTGTCAAAAGAGGATGTGCAACTCAACCAGGTAGTGACAAGATGCAGGCAGGCTTCACATGGTAGGACATATGTCTTTTTGAGAGCGCTTGCTGGCCTGCATGGCTGGTGTGATTGATTGCCAGGGCTGTGAGGCCCAAAGCGGCAGCAAAAGCCGCATCGAAGAGCAAGGCTGGTAAGAAGCGCAAGGATGCCAAGGAAACCGGGAAAACCAAGGAAAAGAAAGAGAAGAAGAAGAGTAAAAAAAAGAAGATGGAGACAGATGGGGAGGAGGAAAATGAACTGGAAGAGGAGGAGGAGGATGAGGAGGAGGAGGAACCGGCGCCCAAGTCAAAGAAGCGTAAGGGGAAGTAAACTGTTTGGGCACAGGTTTTGCTTTTGCAAGCCTCGCATGCCTAGGATGGCGTTTGTGGAGAGAGTCACACATATAGGCTCAATGGTGTTGCTCATACATAGGCACCTGCTGACACTTGAAGCTGTTATCGTTGGAAGATATGTTTCCACACAGCCACAGCATGCGCTTGGCGTTTTGTCTTAGATGACTGTGCTCGCACTCGCTGAGAAGAGATCCAGCTCAAAGAAAAGACGCGGTCGATCCACGCAACGTGCTAGTGTTTGCTGTTTGATTGAAACTGCATTGATACTGTTTTGCTGTTTGATTGAAACTGTTTGCAGAACATATCATTTATATAAATGGATCTAGAGGACTATCTTCCATGCAGATTTTCTGATATGTGTCAGTAGTACTTACCTTGTCTTTGTGTGCGTAGCCCCACTTTGCTGTGTGAACTGTTGACCAGCAACGCCAGGTCGATTGAGATATGCCTCACAAGCTGAAGGCCCACTTTGGGAGCTATCTGTGGAGTGTATACTGATTGCATTGGACTGCGCGTAGTAGAGTAGTCAACGCACACACACACACACTGAGCATGCCATGTTGAGTATGACTCTTTCCCATCCATCTCTCCACATGTGAGCGCATACAGATTTCCCTATTTAATCATCTCAATCCATCATAGCTAGCCCAGTGAAGCCTCCTCTCCCAAAGCCCGCTGATTCTTCTGTCCTGTGACTGCTGCAGGCAGCTCTGCGAGGCAATTGCCTGACGAGAGTGATGTTGAGGATGTGGCTGATGATTTGGCTAAGGAGATGATGGGGGACTACATGACTGGGGAGTCTTGCATGTTTTCCCATAGCATTTTGTTTTCTATCCCCTTAAACTTAATGCACTCTTTCCCAGTGCTTTTGATTGTACCATGTGATCATGGACACTACTGGGTACCACCAAGGGCGAAGAAGTTGGGTGCAGGCTAGTAGCTTGAGTGGTTCTTCACACCAAAACTATGTAAGGCAGAATCGGCCTGGAGAGTGGGGAAACTTGCATCCATGATTTGCCGGATAACAAAAAGATGCGACTGGGTATTGCTTCAGTATGTTTACTTTGAACTTCTTTCCACAACTCTACTACTCTACACTTCTACTGGGAGCCTGGGTTGGTTGTGCAATTCTGGGACCAATTACCCATGTACTGAGGCAATATCAAGGGAAACTTGCTGACAAAGCTTTGCACCGCTTACCGTAGCCCACAAAACGCCCGTGATGTAATCACTCGTCTTGTGAGGAGAACACCTGGTATGTCATTGGACATCCCAATAGACGCTTGTGAAGTTCATGTCAGGCTTCGCAAGCCTGTTCGCTGCTTGAAGGTTTGGTGGCCAATGATTCGCATCGACCAATGGGTCAAGTACTTGGCCTCTCATCAGCCGAGATTGTTGCTTGGTGGGCAGTTGCCTGACCCAAATGGAAAGTGGAAGGAGATGTTCTCCAAGTTCTGGTCAGACTACAAGGTTTTGAATGGTGATCACCCAATTTTTCACCGTGGAGACGTGGACCTTGGAGCATGTCTACCATACTTCATCCATGGTGATGAGGGAAGGGGTCAGTTGAAGAGGCCGTACATGGTTGTCAGCATTCAACTTGCGATAGGCCATGGTGGACCAGAAGTTTGCAATGACACAGGGTACCGTGGCTGTATAGGTATAGCTTTCATGTTTGGAAAAGGGGTTCCAACCACTTCTCACAAGGATATCTTTCTACAGTCTTCCAACAATATGGCAGGCATTCCTTTACAAGCAGATTTTTGTTCTCTGGCATATCCAGTCATATATATTACAATGACTGGACCATCGATGACTTGCTGGGCGAGTTGGCAAAGCAAGCCATTGACGCATACGAGCTTGGTGTTTGTGACCCTTGGAAAAAACTTTGTGGTTTGCCCAAGCCCAAATCAATATTTATATGGGTCTTTGCTAGAATGAAAGCTGCCCTGCCCACTGCCACGCCTGCGCATTGAGGACATTGGTGGCTCCAGAGTGCACCTGGTCAATGTGGGGACCAAAGGCGATTGGCCTTTCCTCAGGAAGGCATTCAGGTTGAGATTAACATACTTTTTGTCGGCTCCCTTAATTCTCTGTTTCCTTTGAGCCTTCGAGTTTGACCATGACCTTTGAATGCTATGCAGCCATCGTGTGAGGCTTTTCATTTGTCTTCAGGGCCGACATCGGCAAGGATCTGTCACCTTTGCACAGCTAGGGACTGTGTGGGGTAAAGAGCATATCCCAGTGCCCCTTCCCACAGGTTCACCCCACAGGATTTCCAAAGCGCCCATATTTGTAAGAGGGGCTGTGTGTGCAACTTCCTACTTTGGGGAAGTTCTGTGGCACCAAGAGATTAGGCTTTCGCCCCTGAAGGAGTGGGAGAACCCTACAGAAAGTGCTGCTTGGAGATCTGAAGGTCCTGGAGACCCACCATTCAAGAGCTTTTCCTACATGCTGCAAATCCCCGGGTCCCATGCGCCCAAGTACATAACTTTGGACTATCTACACATCTATCACCTGGGCTACGGTATGGATGCCAGTGCAAGTTCCATCGTGCTCCTATGCAAACTAGGCCATTTTGGCGCAGCAAGAGCCCTGGATGACAAGTTGGAAGTGGCCTACAACAGGTTTGATGGATGGTGCAAAGCAAACAAGCGCACGACTTCCATTGATTCTTTCAGCCAACAGTCTTTTGGAATGACCAAGCCCCTAGTTGGAGCAAAGTATATATGTCTTTTGTTCAAACCATGTCAATCCCCAAAGGATCACTGGGCAGTATGGTGGCAGTAGGGTAAAATTACTATGCATGGGAGTCATGGGATATTTCTGCCAACCCAGGTCTGGGAACACTTTCCCTACCACTGTTGGTGGCAAAGCTTTCGACGTTGGCCTGATCATGGCGTGGCTGGAAGATGATCTGGCAGCTGCTTCAGAGGCCATGTCATGCCATGTCTCATGAAAGTATGTGCTGGCTGCAATATGAATTAAATCTCAAAAGATTGCATGGCAGTGTTTGGGGTGGGGCGGCTGCAACATACGAATCTTAAACAGCAATAGGTGGGAGTCTGTAGCATGAGTCTCAAGTGGCAGTCTGCCGGCTTTACTCATATAGTCTAGTCCCTTCATGCCTGCAGGTTCCTGCTTCGAATGAGCTCTTTCAGCTTTGCGCTTACATGGTCAGATGCACCAACAAGTTCTTCAGGACCTTGAGAGGTAATGGTGTCATGCTCCAGGGGGATGCTTGCACCATTGCAAGGACGGCTGGTCGCGAGATGAATGCAACTGGTAGCTACACATTTCCCTTTGTATGATGAATTCCAAAAAACAGTTGTTTGGGGAGCTAGGGAAGTGGAACTCCTTGTCTATAGGATTGATGTCTCTTTTGTATGTCTGGGCGCGTGTTGTATCCATGTGAGGTAGCCTACGCATCCCTGGCGGCTCTTGCGCATGATTCCAGGATGTCGCTCTTCAAGTACCGTCCCAAGTACCATCTGGGTGTGCACCTAGCATTGAACATCATTGGACCGGTCTGCCTGAATCCAACCAGCATCTTGCCTGTTCAACTTTGTGATAGCTAACGGAGCTTGTTTGGTGACCTTCTGTCCAATGGAGTGCCTCTATGTTTTTGTCCCTCAACCCCTGCAACTGCATTATTTGACACTGGGCTGGGATCAAAGCTGTTGTTTGT